AGGTTATGGTGGTACTTTAGAACATTTCTATCTCCTAGGGCTGGGGCTGAGGTCTGTTCCCATGCTTTGAGATGAAGAATGGCAATGGCCAGGCTGAATTGTACCCAGTGCATTGGGTGGTCCTTGCCCCCATGTCCTTCCACCCTGCCACAACACAGTCCCACAGAGTACTCGCCAATGCCACCTCCCCTCTCTTGTGGCAGACACCAAACACGGTGTGACCCCTTCATGGCCACGGCCTTTGTGGCTGGGCTCTGGTGTAGCTGTGCCAAAGCAAAGGGACGTGGCACCACTTTTCCCAGCGGGGGTGGCTGATGTGGGAGCACAGAGACACCACAGATCCCGCGGTGCCTGTGGATCCCACCACTGGGGCTGCTCAGCACACTGTGTCCCCCAGGCACCCCTGAGCTGTCGGAGGCGCAGCGCAGGGAGCTGGAGAAGCAGCTGAAGGCGCGGGAGGAGCTGCTCCTGCCCGTGTACCACCAGGTGGCCGTGCGCTTCGCCGACCTGCACGACACCCCGGGCCGCATGCAGGAGAAAGGAGTCATCACGGTGAGCTGGGAGGGCACCAGCCTGGGGGAAGGGCTCGGGGCAGGGATTTCTGCGGTAGCGGCACAAAGGCAGGAGGCAAATCCCTTCCCGAGGGGCTGCAGCTCCCAGACTGTTCCTACCCTTGCACTGCCCTCTGCCCTGAGTCCGGAGCTGCGAGCGAGCACATCGGCTCCTCCTCCTCCTCCAAAGGCAAACCCTGCTGTGCCTGTTCCTGCAGGACATCCTGGAGTGGAGGAGTGCCCGCTCCTTCCTCTACTGGCGGCTGCGGCGGCTGCTGCTGGAGCAGGGGGTGAAGGCGGAGGTGCTGAAGGCCAACAGCGAGCTCAGCCACATCCACATCCAGTCCATGCTGCGGCGCTGGTTCATGGAGACAGAGGGAGCCGAAAAGGTACCCCCTGCCCCAACCTCCTGAGACACCCTCTGGGCGTCCCAAGGGCTCTCACCTTGCTCTCCCATCGCCCAGATGTTTTGGTGGTGTCTCCTTGAAGGTTTAAATGCGTGATGGGAATGTGTCAGGGCGGGCAGCTGAGCAGCCCTGAGGCTGGAGATGTCTCTCCAAATCAGGTGACCCCAGTTGGGTGATGGTGCTCAGCAATAGCAAGGTGGTCCCCAAATAAACACTTTCTACCATGGCAGGGCTTCCCAGGGCAGATGAGAGACTTGGGGTCTTTGCATTTGAGCTACACTTTCAAGTGACACACACGTGTCGCTGTGCCAGTCCTCTGCTTGCTGAGCCAGGAAGTGATGACATACAAAGGAAACATGTTTTACCTTAACTTTTTGCATTTTAAACAGTTCACAAAGGTTTCATGCATTTCAGTTTCCAGACTGAAGCTTCTACCCTGTGGCTGGAACATGGGAGTGGGAGATTGTGCCATGCCATTGGGAAGGAAATTCCCATTGCTTGGTTTTGAGGCCACAGGAGGAAGGGGGGGCTCAGGCTGTGCAGGCAGCAGGATTCCCTGCCCACTGTGCTGCTCTCCACAGGGCTACCTCTGGGACAACAACCAGGTGGTGGTGGAGTGGCTGGAGAAGCACATGCAGGAGGATGACAGCACCCAGTCAGTCATCAGGGAGAACATCAAGCACCTGAGGAGGGATTACATCCTCAAACACATCCGCAGGTGAGGGGTCACTGGAGCCAGGATGAGGAGGCTGATGCTGATCCCTGGGGCGGGAACGGTGGGGGTGCAGAGAAGGTGGTTCTTCCTTCAGCCTCCCAGCTGGCTGCCCTCTCCCAATCTGCCTTGCAGCTTGCTCCAGGCCAACCCCGAGGTGACCATGGACTGCATGGTGCAGATGGCCCAGCACATCACCGGTGCCCAGAAGGCCCAGGTGGCCCATCTCCTGTCCACGGTGGACACGGATGACCCCTCCTGAGCCAGGGCTGGTGCTGCTCAGGGCAGTCCCCACGGGGCAGGAGGGGCACTGGGACACAGCCTCACCTCCCCTCATGGCTCCTCAGCCCTGGAACTGAAGCCTTGGACTCTTCCTCATGTGCCTGAATAAAGGACACAGTGTTTGTATTTTAAGCCATGGAGGTGGTCTTGCCATCCTCGCAGAGGCCCCTCTGGAAGGGGATGTTCGCCAGAGGGGCAGCTTGGCAGAAGATAAACTTGTCCTGAGCCAAGCCTGGAGTCTGGACCTGGTACAGAAGTTGGTTTTAATAAGAACCTAAAATCTTTTACTGTGTTTTAGTTGCAAAGCCCGGCCCTGATCTTTAAAACAAATACCAGGTCAGACACATCTTATGAGACTGGACAGAGCTGGAGGTTCAGACCCACTGTCCCAGGGGCCACAGGGAGCAGGACAAAGGAGATGCCCAGGCACCAACACAAGGAAATGAGCATCCTGTGAGCAGCAGCCTCAAACTGATGGTTTAGAAACTGGGAGGACCAATTTATCTTTTCCTTCCCCTTGTTGGAGGGCGAAGAGTAGATGTGACTGCAAGTAGCTGATGGCCAGAAAAGACCTAAGTGAGCTCATCTGGGAGCTGTTGCAGTGGGAACGTCAAAGGATCCATCACTGACTGACCAACTGTTCCTCTTGCCTGTCTCATGTCCTTTCTGGCTCCTGTGGAGGATGGAGAGGAGGGAGGACACAGCTCCAGGTGCTCCTGCCCCAGTGACTTGGTTCTTCTTCTGAAGCACAGGAGAGTAAAAGAGCTCACGGGTGCCTTGTCACCTGCCTGGACCTGTACCTTGCTTCTCAGGTGGCCTTATTTGATCTTGGTCATGGAGAGGACATTTGAACATGTGCTTTCCAGTGCCTCTGGCTGTGTCATTCCACCAGCACAGGGTTACCTTTGGCTCACAAAGAAGGAGCAGGATGGTGGTGGAAGGTGGGACACACTGTTCAAGCACAGTGCTGGTCTTGTGGAGTGAAGGTGCTGGAGACCTCCCTGGTCATGTCTGGGCTGGGGGGGTCACCCTGGGATCTGTGGGGAGGTCTCCCTGTCCTGTGGTGGGAGTAGGAAGGGCCTTGTGAGACACTTCCTGGTTTGAAAGGTGTGACTGCTGATCCTCATGTATAGCAGTCAAATCAGCAGCAATAAAGTGGGCTCAGCTCCAGGGAAGGACTCCTGACCTCTGTGTCTTCTGTCCCTGTACAGACGTGGTGGATCTGAGCAGGGGCTGTTGCCTCTGGCCCCTTCCTGTGGCACAGGACTCGTTTGGGTGTGGACAAGCTCTGAGCATCCCTTCTGCCAGACCCTGTCCCCACACCAGAGCTCGTCCAGGAATTTGGCTACAGAGGGTGTGAGGAACAGGGTGGCACCAAATACCTGCAAACTCCTACTCTCCTGGAGGATTTGAGCCAAGGATACACCTGTAGAACCATGCCTGTGAAGGGAGTGAATCCTGGGAAAGCCCAGCATGGCAGGGGCTCCCTGCCATCAGAGCAGTTATCACCCAGCACATCCAGAGTGACCCAGGCTTAGTGCTAAGAAATATTTATTTAAAAAACACAGACATCATGGGTGACGCCAGTCACAGCAAATGATCATCAATCACATTGTCCTTGAGCAATAAATTATGACGTGGAGCATCCTGCCCTTGGGAAGAGGTTTCCACGGACGGATGTGCTGGGAGGATACAGGCACAGTTGTTTTCTATCCCCTGATCTTCACAGAAGGGACTTTCAAGCAAAAAAGATGCCCACTGGGTCACTCCAGCATCCTGCACCCTCCAGGTTCAATCCATGGATGGGAGTGGGAGAGAGGAGCCTGTGAGCACATGGATATGACACTGGAAAATTCTATTAATGCACAGGAACAAAGCCCAACATATAAATATCACTGCGGTCACAGGGGTATAAATGGACTAAACACTAAATCCCAACCTACTTTCAGATGTTTCATCACATTTTTGCAGTGTATGTTACCAGGTACAAAGCAGGGTTTGAAAGTTTTTAAAAAAGCTACATTAGAATCAGTTTTTCTTAGTTAATTAGGAAAGATGGACTATTACGGATGGTACAGTACAATATTTGGTTTCTGAATTTTTTTAAAAAAGGAGTTTCACAGTATCAAAAGTGCTTATTAAAGAAATGTAGTGTAAAGACTGTGATGAGCTGGTTGTATTTTTGATGCTGAATAATTCAGTGGTTGTAAACCAGGGTACTGCAGCATTATAAAACTTGAACAGTGCTCAATAATTTCTTTTCTCTTCATAACAATAAATATAAATAAATTTACAAATTGTAATACTGCCTAGCACAAGAATAGACAGAAGCACAATACACAAGACTATAAACAAATCTATTTCTTTTAAAAATCCTAAAAATAGGCATAATTCCTAAAATCTTCTAGCCAGTTTAATAGTTCAGTAGTACCACTTCCCTCAGGGGTGAGGATTTTGTTTTTAAATCTAGATACAGCAGTTACTTGCTTTGGGGTTGACTCTTCATTTTTAGTATTTTTGCTCCTTTATTCCTACCTCAGAAAAATAAATTAACAACAGTAAAGTCAGAAAAGTGTTAGTGGTGCAAATGTCTCCAGGGACTGGGTGAGGTCTTTGTTCCACAGCAACAGGAATTTGGCAAATTAAGAACAAATGATTCACCAGGTGCACAGTGAACCATTTTGGGCTCCAGCTCAGTTCTGACCAGCCCGTTGACTCTGCTGGCTTTTGTGAAGGTGGTGATCAACCAGCTCCACCAGATCATGGGGGAGATTAAATGTATTTCCCTTAACTGGGTTACTTTTAGCTCAGTTCCATTCCAGTGAAAGTTCCTGCTGCACCTTCCAGGTCCTTCTGGAGAGCTGACCAGCCCCACAACAGAAGTATCTGCGCCATTTCCTCAGGGTTGCCGCAAGTGAAAGTGGTTCTCCCAGTCACAGTCTGATCTATTTTGGCCTCTCACGCTGTAAGTAGCCGACACATCCCAAGTGTCTGCAGGAGGAGCTCTCGTTGCTTCCAGGAGTTGGGATCTGGGGAAGGGTGCAAAGCTCAGAGCAGAGGGATGGGTTTGTTGCCTTGGGGGTCATGTACTGAGCAGCTGCCACGTTGTCCAGGGTGGTGTAGGTGGTGTAGAGGCCGGTGACCTGCAGGTCTGGGAAGGAGCGGTCGCTGCTGCTGGACACGGGCGTGAGGCCGGGGGTGCCCAGGTCGCAGTCAGAGAGGTGCAGAGGGGACGTGCTGAAGGCACCCAGGGTGTCCAGGCTGAAGCTCTCGTCCTTCATCTCCTCCCAGATGTTACCTGGAAAGGATTAAATGCTGCTCACAGCAGCACATTCCACACCCCTGGGAGCTGTGTGTGGGTCACCCACTTCAAGGGTAACGAAAGGGCTTCACTCACTGCTCGAGGGTGGTGCCACTATGGGGCAAGGGCAGCAGGCGTGCCTGTTCCCCACAAATCCTCTGGTTCCAGCCCTTTCCAGGCAGCACCTATTTACCTGAGCTAACCACACACCCAGGGACCACACCAGGCATTGCCACAAGCCAGGGAAGTTCTCCTTGCACATAAGGGGAACACCAAGGCACAAGCACAGCTCTGGTTTCCCGTGGGCAGTGAGATGAGGTGTCCCACATCCCTGCTTACATCTTCTGCAGGACCCCGGCTGGATGTTCAGTGACTACCCAACCACAGAACCCCCTCCCTGCCCTTCCCCAGGCCCTGTCCCTTACCTTGCAGTGCAAAGTCCATGATGCTGGGATCCAGGGCATCCACCTCCGTGCTCATGTCCGCCGGCACGCTGGGGAATTCCGGAGGGGCCCTTCCCAGGGGGTGGTGGGGCAGGGGGCTGTGGCTCATGTCGGGCAGGGTGTGCAGGGGAGGCGTCTGTGCCGGGGCAGGAGAGTTTGGGGTGATGCGAGCCTGGGTCTGCAGCTGGTGGTGCAGGGGCAGGGACTGCAGGGACAGAGTCATGATGGGCTGAGGCTGGAGCTGGGACACGGGGATCCGGCCCTGGGCCGTGGCCAGGTGGCTCAGGGGGGTCACCTCGGGCTCTGCCTGTTTGCTGGGCCGCCTGCAGCTCTCGGGTCTGTCGGTGATCAGCTTGTCCAGCTCCTCTGCACAGGCAATGCCCATTCCCAAGGAGGAAAAAAGACAGTTTAACCCACTTGTTGAAGCAGGGATGGGCCAAAGTGTTTCACAGGTTTCACACAGTTCTGCCGTAAAACTGACCTGGCAGTGTCTGTCACAGGACGAGACCCAGCACAGACCTGACTAAAGAAATGATCCCAGGACTTACACAGAGCAACCAAACCACTCCTAATGGCAGCTCACCCTCAGGTGCAGAACTAAACATCCTCACTAGGTCCCCTGCTCGTAGGGACACTCTGAATTCTGCTTGTCTCTTAAAATAAGACTCATAAAAGTGATTCCCAGCAGTTTCAGTGGCCCTTTAGCTTGTAAACAAATAAAACTAATTTATCACTGATCGTATGTTACTGATTTTGCAGCAAAAAACTCCAGCTGATTTTGTCAATACTGAGCTCCTGAAAGCTTCAAAACCATGTTTTTTTATAAATAAGAATGAAAGAGGCTTAATAAAGGGAAGGTTTTGCAGAAGAACAGACATGGAAATGTGACACTATAATCAATAACACTAAAGGCAGCGGGACCCTCAGGGAAGGCCGTGGATGCTTGGGATGGGGCAGGGAGATAAAAGCCCTACCTGGGTTGGCCATGCTCCTGTGAATGGCAGCCAAGTCCTTCCTCTTCCACTTCTGCATCTCCTCCTCCATCTTGTCGATCTTGGCGGGGTTGAGGGCCCACAGACACCCTTTGCGGGAGGTGCCGCTCAGCTTGTTCTCCACCTTCTCAAAGCACTTGTTCAGGGACAGGTTGTGGCGCACGGAGTTCTTCCAGCCATCCGGGGCCGTCTGAAAGTGCAGGGGAGGGGGGTTAGACAAACCAGCCATGGATTTGGGATGCTGCACTTCCCCTCCCTGGGGCTGCACAGGTACCTTGAAGTAGGGGAAGTGCTCCTTCATGAAGCTGTAGATCTCACTCACGGGGAGGCTCCCGGTCTTGCTGTTCTTCAGAGCCATCGCGATCAAACAGCTGGGAAAGACAGGGAAGAACTGAGCCGTCATGGAATGGGCTGGGTTGGAAGGGACCTTAAAGCTCATCTCATTCCACACCCTGCCATGGGCTGGCTGATCCTGGGATTTCAGTTCTCAAGGGCTCAGAAGTCACCCTGTGATCCTCAGATTTTACTCCTCTGTGCTATTACTCCACCCTTATGTCGATATGCAGAACCAGTTTGCTTGTTCTCTCCTACTGCCCCTCAGGGGCAGCTCCCACAGAACTCCTGGGTGGGTGATGGGATTTTTGTTCCCTCCAAAGGAATCAAACGCTCCTGTGGCAGCACCCCTGCAGCTCCCTGTGTTACAGCCATCCCTGCTTTCCACTCACCTGTATGAATAGATGGGCTTGGGATAATGCTTTGGATGCAGTTCCTGGGCAGAGTGAGGAGCCAGGCGTGGCTGGGAATAGTGTGGCTGTGTCCCATAGGATGTGTTGTAGATTCCTGCTGGGTTACACTGTGTGCAGGAGGAAAAGAAGGGAAATGCTGGATGCAAAATGTCTGTGAGTACGTGGGTTCAGGGATATTTTATTGTGGGGGTTTTTAAAGAGTTCTAGAAATGATCTTGGCAGGTACTCTCAGGACAGACAAGACACACATGGCAGTACCTGTTGGGTGTTCTGGGCCAGGGCAAACACCTGCTGGGAGTGAGGAGGAGGATGAGGAGGAGGAGGAGGAAAGAGTTGTTGCTGTGTTTGTAAACCAGGAGACAGTTGCCCACCCACGGCATAGGGGCTCATCTGCTGAGAGAGACACACCAGTCGTGGCACTCCTGGATTCCCAGCACCTTTTCCTAAGAGGTGTGGCAATAATGGGCCATCAAGGCCTGCTCTTACATTTGCTCCATGTGTTGAAATAGAATTGAGGCCCAGGATTCCCTGAGGAAGGCTGGCCTGGACATGGATCATTGCTCCAGGAGCTCCTGTTGAGTGCAGGGTGTTTGTCACAGGACCTGTGTGGAGAGAGCGAAGGCAAGGAATGTTCACATGGAAGTACTTCAGGAGAGAGAGCTGACACTGATGTTTAATGGATGCAGTTGAATACAGCCAGGCTCTGGAGTGGATAATCACACCTCTCTGCCTTTCCATCCCCACAGAACCCAGAGCTTTTCACAGCTTGCAAAGGTCACATCAGCTGCTTCTAAAACTCATTACACAGGGAGTGAAAGGTGGCAGCTGTTTAACAGTCCATGGAGGGGTTACAGACACCCTGTCTTACAAAAGAAAAACAACATATTCAGCACTGTCTGTACTCCAGGAGGATTTGTGCTCTAAGGCAGGTGGGATGATGCTGCAGGGAACAAGTGTGTTTACCTAAAGGATGTTCACCAAGGAAAGAAAGGAGTTCAGTGAACTCAGGCTGTAAATCTGCCTGAAGCAAAGATCAGGTGCTCTCGGTTTTATCAGTGTTGAAACAAAGCAGAAACACTAATTACCTAATTCCAAAGCTGATGAAAACCTCCGAACCCCAAGTCTTAAATACCTCGGCTTGAGTTCACCCAACAAGGCACCAGCAACTGCACTGAGCAGAAATTCCCATGGGATCCAGGGATCTGCTGTCAGTACTGGGGCTCTGCCTCCTGGGATGGAGGAAGGGCATCAACAGTGCCCTTATGAGAAGCCAACAGGCTCCAGATCATTGGACAGGAAGCAAAATATAGAGCATTTAAAAGGAATCAACTAAGGGAGTCTGTGTGGGGAGAGAAAGGCAGGGGCAGGTTGTGGTGTTAAGGAGCAATTATTCCCAATCCCAACGTTACCTGGCTGCTGGAGCATGGCATTCTGGGCCCCAAGGCTGAAATCCATCCTCCCACTGGCCATCTGCTGTAACCTGGGCACATCCACGGACGTCAGCCAGGACAGGGACTGCAGGTCCCCAGGGAGCTCATCCTCGCTCAGCTGGGATGGGTCGGAAGCCAAGAGCCTGCAGAGCAGCAGGGAAGGTTACTGGGAGCAGGGATGGTGCTGCACTGCCCCTGGAAAGGGGGGAAATGGCTGGGATGCCACAGCTCGTGTGGGTCAGTGGGAAAATGTATCAGGCCGGAATTCTGTCGGCAAATCCCTTTGGTTTCCCAGCTGGTCACTGACACCCTTCACCTGATCCTGTGTTCCTTTGTACAGCTGGAAAAATTTCAGTGAAGAAAACTTCCTGTGGGGTATTTATAGGAGAAGAATGCCCAGGAACTCAGAGAGAAACTGCCTGGAAACAAGTCCAAAGTTGGTGTGTGCCTGAACACCCCAAAACTGTGAGGATGCCTTTGGCAACAAACCCGAGGCACAGCAATGACAGACTGCTTTTGGTTTAAAGCTCTGCTTTTGACACATTCTGCACATTCCACCTCACCTGTTTTGCTTTGCTTCTGGTAGAGCTCATGGTACAAAATGGGGATATTGGAATGTATTTACAGTACCCGAAAATTCCTGTGTGGTCCAAACTCCTGTTAAAGTCACCAAAAGAACTATTGTAAGTGAAAGACTAAATTAATTTGTTTATGTGGAATGGTATTACAGGAGTCACTGGTACCTCGAGGAGTAAAGCAGCAATTAGGACATGTTAGGAAGTTGTCATTAGACACCCAGAGTAAATACAAAGGGATTCACATCCAGGAAAACATCTTTATCTCTCAGAATAACATAATTTAGTTGGCTGTAGTTGATTTTGCTTTCAAAACCAAGGCTTTAAAGAGCTCTCAGAGTGTGTTAAAGCTGCTGCGTGGTGCTGATCTGTGTTTGTTGCCAAACGATGCTGCAGAAGCCTGAAATAAATCTGGTCTCTTGCTGAAGCATCTTTTATGTTTTACACGACTCTAAATCAGCTTAAAAGAACAAGGCAAAACTCCAGTGCCTGCCTGCCTGCCCTGGAGCTTTCAGCTCCTCTAGTCAGGAATTCCAAAAACACCTATCAAAGCTCCCTAAACTGTTATCTGGGAGATCTTTAAAGCAGAAGGTGATTTGTTTGTAAAAGCAGAATGTGATTTGTTTGTAACAAGATTTTGAAAAGAAGAAAAGAGGGGGAAAAATCAACACAGGACCAGGAGCCAAAACGTCAAACCCTGGCCAAAAAACCCATCTTCCAATCTCTCTGCCAGCCTGCCCCGCGTTCCTTCTCCTACTGTAGTTATCGGGCAATAATTAGCATTGCCATGGTTACGCTGTTCAGTTATTTTGTGAGGCCTGGGACTTAAATCCAGAAAAAGACCATCAGGTGACGGCTGTGCCGGCGGAGATTGGCTGGATTGGAAGAAAACAAGAGCATTAAATGATTTGAAAACTGGGCAGGCTCATGTCGTTTGCAACAGTTGGGCGCATTCAAGGGGAGCCGATAACCCATTGTGCGCCCAACGACCGCTGCCCGCGGCACGTGGCCCCCATTGTTTTGGGGATTCGTGCTTAATTGTTTCCCCACCACCACCACCACCTCCTCCCCCCTCCTCCTTTTTTTCCAAACTTCCCATTAATCTGCCCGAGTGACGGCGGACACACAACACACACCCCCCCGCCCCGCTGCCATCTGGCACCCGGACCCTGCCGGGGCTCCCGGGCACGGCAGAGCCGCAGCAGGTCTGGGGTCAGCGCCCACCGCACACTCCTCCTGTCCCGGGGGCTCAGCCCTGGCTGGATGCTGGAAAACAAAAGCCTCTCCTCGCCCTCACCCTGGGTGCACCAGCCCGGGGCTCTTCGGAGCAGGAGAAATACCCCTGGACTAGCTGGATGTCATGGGAAGCTGGAATTACCGCTGTCCTGCTGGCCCGTGAGCACCAGCGTCCTCACCGGCCTCTCACACAAACCCTGTGGATCCAAACGGGGGCAAAGGAAGGTGTTGGATATCAATAAAAGTTGCTATCGCAGCTGTTAAGTTCTATTTTATGCAGATACAAAGATGTAGAAATATATAATACCTAGACAAGTGTGCAAGCCACTTCTTTTTCCAAGTCAAGGATCTTCCCTTCTCTTGTTCTCTTCCCTTCCCTTTCCCCTCTGAACACATCACAGTTGTTTGTATTTGAGTTTACAGGTTTTTTTTAAACCACCTCTGGCTGTTCACTCACACTTTTTTTTTTTTTAAATGAATTTGCTAGTTATCAGAATAACTTTCAATTAATAATGGAAAAAAGTATATGTAATCAGAATATGAAATATTGCATGGCATCCCTGCAGGGTCCCCTGGCAGTGGATTGGAACTGGATGGTCTTTAAAGTCCCTTTGAACCCAAATCGTTCTGTGACTCTGTGATTCCATGATTTGATGATTCTATCATCTCACATTTAAGGATTATTCTTCAGGTTGTCTTGAAAACCAATGTTGAATATTCACATATCTTAAAGAAGGTGAAGCTTTTAAAATATTCCCATCCGAGGTGTTTTAAAATCCCAGATATTCTGCACATAAACCAGCTTATCTCCCAGGACACAGACGCAATGTGTGTCCTGCTTTTGGTGAAAAATGCTAATTAACTGCAAAAAAAAAGAGAGCAGAGCACACCCAACATTGTAATCTTGTAGGCTTCAATCTTTCCAGCCTGGAAAAATCCCTGTGCCAAGACAACTACAGACCCGTGGGTTCACACTGGAATACCGTGTGTGCTTTGCTTCTGTTCGCCTCCACCACCCTTTTAACCTCAGGTTGGAGGGTAAACTCCAGGAGAATAAACTCCAGGAGTCAGAGCTCCTGCCTCTGGCCGGGTGCTCACAGCCCCTGGCACAATGGGGCACTGTGGTAAAGCAGCCACGGCCTTTCAGGGCATGTAAATGAGATAAATAGCGATGGGCTGTAATTAATTCACGATTCTGAGCCGTCCCCGGATGCATTCCCGGGGAATGGGGCTCCTGGAACAGCCACAGACCCACCAAACCCCTCTGGAGGAGAGGTTACAGTCCCACAAACATGTTGCAAACACGATGTTGTTTTTAAAGGTGTGGTGAAATTACACAACTCCACTCTCCCACCTCTGCTTTCAGCTCTCTGCAAAAAAAACCCTCCTGCTTCTGTGCTTCTGTCCCAGAAAGGCACCTGCACTGATGAGAATCCACAGGGTGCTGAGGATTTAATTCCCAAGGATGCTGATCCATGGCTATTCCTGTGAACAGGGCCTGGAGAGTGGTGGGTGTGATACAGAAATGCTCTGTGGTACTGATAGTTTTTGCTCTCTGCTCTAGAATTATCTGCCCAAAATATTTATCTGATATGGGTAATGCTGGATGAGGGACAGTACCCTTTGGAATGAAACCCTTTCCAGATCTGCCCCTTCCTGCCTGCTGTCACAGAGAGATTGGGCTCCTATGCTGGTTGCACACCTGGTAAAGTTCCCCAGAGCCTTCAGCAACACAAAATCCCCAGTCACAGGCACCTAAAGGTATCTTTATCTTTCTTCTCCCCCATGAAGTGCATCCTGATGGCACAACAGCTGGAAAAATAGAATTAAAGTCATTCCTGGCCTGACCTTGCAGGAATCTGAACCAACATCAGAGCTGAGTGTGAGTCTGTGTTCATGGATCTGACTTCCCCACCTTTCCTCACACTGAGCTGTTCCAGGGAGCTGGATCTGAGCTGGTTCATCACCACAAAACCCCCTGTTGGGTGAACTATCCACATCCACACTGCAAATTCCAAGGGAGGGTCAACTGATCACTGGAGACTAAAAGGACCATCCCCTCAAAAACCAAGAGTGTGGTAGCATCTCATCATCACCTCCATTCTAAACCAAGTCAGCCCAAAACACTGAGGCTGCTTTTGGCCTATTCAGCTTCAACCACAGCTTTAAGTTGTCTCTCACTCAACAGCCAATTTTTATTCCCATTTCCAACACTGAGCTCTTTGCCTGTGCTTGGGCAATGCAACAGTTCTACAGTCAGGAGCAACTGGGGCAATAGTTCTTAATTATTGTTTGCTGTGGTTTATCCAGTGAGTGACAACTGGGCAGGAAGAGTTCTGAGAAAACCTCTTCTGGAAGTGGCGATGAGAAGCTCTTTTCCTTTGTCTGGGATCACACAAGGCCATCAGGACAAGAACAGAGGTTTCTCATGTGTAAGACAGGGAAAATGTTTGGGGTTTGACTCTTGAGCTGTGTTCAGGTGGTAAACTCCTTTTATTTAAGGAGTCAGCTTCGCCACCTCCTTTTTCTTCTCACTCAATCCACTCTGCTCCTTTTACCTTCCTCCCTTCCAGCTGCTTTCCCCTCTGCCCCCAGGTTCTGTTTTCCACTCTCAAAACCACCTGCCCTCTCCATGTTTCTGCACCAGCTCCTCTCTTGCTTCAGCAGCAGGTCCCACAGCTGCCTTTGGCCTGCAATTCATCTCTGAAGGCACAACACACATCCAGTCCCAAACCACCAGCCCACCCTTCTTCAAGATCCTTGCTGGAAGTAAGAACAGAAATTAAGCAGCTTTCCAGAGAAAAACAGAAAGTCCCTCCTCACCTATAACTCAAGAGACTTTGGATTATTGGAACCAAAACCAGTGAGGAAAAAGCAAATAACAAGATTAACCTGTCAGGTATTCTTCTCCTGCACCATGGTTCAGAAGAGAATTCTCCAAAACCCTCCTGCAAAGGTACTGAGCAGCAACAGGTATAGCTGTGCCCCTGGAGCCTTTTATACATCTCAGCTCCATGTTTCACAACCTCCTTACACCATTTGCTCTGGGATGAAGGAAAAGTGAATTATAAGTGACCTCTGTGATTTGCTTAAGCCCAAGAGGAAGTCTGGAGAAACAGCAGCACTAAACTCCCAACCACTGTGCTTTAACCTGCTGTGCTTTAACCACCCCCAGGTTGGGATTTTCCAGAGTAGGATCTGCCTCTGAAATCTGCTTGTTTAAAAAAACTCAAACCAAACAAACCAAAACCCAAACCTGTGACTGATGTCAAAGCAAGCTTCTCTTTGGTGCAAAAATGTGCTGAAGTACCAGGTGCTACAGGAATGTCTTACATTCATTCCAGGAGGGTTGTCTGCCTGGGAAGATACTTTTTCCTTGAACTTTGCTGTCTATTAGCACTGGAACCTTGTTGTTTCCTCCAGTGTAAAGGGAGTATAAACTCCACTACCTGTGTAGTGTTGTAGGAACCATCTCAGTTACTCACTGCCCTGGTGATGCAGCAGCTCTGCTGAGGCACACAGGAGGTTTTGAAATGGGTACAGTGAGCCTCTGAAGTGCTGGAAAAGTCCAAATTCCCTTTCTCTTCCCCAGTTTTGAACATGAGGACAAGCTCCATTTCAGAGGTATGAGATGAAACCATTCTGGCCTCACTGGGGGCAGAAGAGCCTGAGCTGTGCTGGGTCCCACCAGCCCTTCCCACCTCTGCTTCCCCATGGGACAGTTTGAGAAGCAAAGCCCCAATTTTTATTCCTCCAGATTAGCACATTTCAGAGCTGCAGAGGAAACTGGCACTAATCCACTTAAATCAATCCACTTGGACTGATTCCTTAGAGGTTTCTCACATTTTTCTGAAAGAATGAAGCCACAACCGGGATGAAATTCCTGCAACACGTCGAGCCATTATCTCACTCCCTGCCAGACACATGGGGTGTCACAGCAAAGGACAGAGATGTTTTCTTCAGGAACAACTGTGGAGTGGTTAGTTATACATTTGTAACCTTTGGTGTGCAGTTGTGTCCTCCGTGCACACTCCCAGACGCCATCCATCCATCCGTCCATCCATCCATCCATCCACCCATCCATCCATCCATCCACATCCCTCCCTCCACCCCTCCATAGCCTGGAGGTAAAATTTGCTCCCCAGAAACCAAAGTGCAAAAGCATCCGTGAGAGAACCCCTCAGCAGAGCTCAAATGTGCTCTGTGTGCCATAAAGATAAAATTTGCCACTTTTTCCACTGCTGGAATGTGGCACATCCGGCATTTTTGGAATACAGCAGCCCCACGTTCATCCATCTATGCCTCTTAAGCTGATTTTACACTAAACTATGCAAGAATAAAGTAATTACAACAAAAATTTATCAGACTATCTACTGAGCTAATGAATATGGACCAATTATTTAAGAACCAAAGAGACAAATAGAATGAAGGATAATACAGTCTACTAATATGTCATATTATTAATGATTAACACCTTTTGATCAAAAATACATCTATTTAAAACTTAGTTTCCATTTAATGTGTAAAAAGTGCATTACAAGGCCTTCAAAATGCTACATAAGGCTTCTGTCAACTGAAAATACATAATAATATAAAAATAGAAACTTGGTCCTTCCACAAAATATTGAGCTGCAAAACATGAAATCAGTTTGTTTGGTTGGTCTAGGGCTGCCTTGACATCCTAAGTAATGTTATTTCTTCAAATAGTATTACACATTTCAGGTATTTCTTTCAAAATATAGACATCACATTTTTATAAACTGATGATTTCATTCCTCAAATTTGGATTTCCGCATATGCCAATGAATCCAAGGCAAAATACTCCTTGTCTCCCTTCTAATGGCCTGGGTTTCATGTCATAAATTTATTATATAGTATGTGATAAACCACACACAACTGTACCTAGCTGGGAATGGGAGGGGCCCTAAGAAATAATTGCTGCATTTGAAAATGCTGGTTTAGGATGACACTGAGCCTTCTGTGAGGTAGAACTTTGTTCTGTGAGTGTTTTTCAGTCTTAGTCCAGGCCAGCCTGGGGCTTCTGCTGCTCAAACTCTGCATATTAAACCTCATTCTGGTCATTTATATTAAATCCCATTTTAAAATCAGAATGATAGATTCCAATTAAAAATATTGCCCAAATACCAGAGTGTTCAGGAGCTGGAGAACCTGGATTCCCAGAGAGAAGACCCTGGGAGCAGCCTTGAATTGGCTTCTATAATTTACACAGCTCTGTGCAGAAACAACCACCAGCCACCACTGCACAGCAAACCTGGAGTAAGACTTGTGATTTAAAATAGATATATTGACACTAACACCTGTTAAATTGTTAATTATTATTAACAAGGATAAAGTGTTAAGGGTTAAAAAATCCCAGTGTGCTGCAATTCTCTACTTTTACTCCCTGAATGGGAATAAAATGGAATCATTAGAAGTATTTGTCACTACTATGATGATGGAAATACTGAACGTGGGGGTATTTTCTGTGGGAAAGTAAGTGAGGCATTTGCTAATATAAATAATTACTTTAAACTGGCAGCCAGGCAGCGACAGTGCCATAAAAACAGGCAGCAGAGGAGATATGATGGCCCTGAAAAAATCATCCCTGTGCTGTTTTATATCCCACAGCTGCACTAGTAGAGGAGATATTTGCCTAAAATCATTTGCACTGTGGTGCAAACCCTCCCAGGACTCTGCTCAGCAGCCGAAAGCAGTTTAAGCCTCATCACTACTCTGAGCTACATCAAATTTTCTATGGACGTTTTGGATGCACAGAGTCCAAAGACCTGCTAAAATCATGGATTTTCTAATCTCATTTATCCTAAAAAAAAAAGTTTTAAATCCCACAGTTTCCAACTGGAAGCAGAAGCTGCTGCAGGCTGGGGGTGTTTGGGGTTTGGTCCCCTCCCTCTCCCGCATTTCCTCCGGCACTCGCAGGAAAAGCCGGGGCTCCCCCGAGTCCAACTGTCCCATTGAAAGATTCCAAGTGAGACAGAAGAGTATTCTCAGCACAGCCCCAGCCTCCCACTCGCTAATTGGAGGCCAGTCCCCATTTTGTGGAGCCTTGATGCTCCCCCATGGAGAACTCGGGACTGTGGGTTCCAGCCCCGGACTGTGGTGACAGCAGGAGAGTAAACAGAGCTGATAGAATTTGACAGGTCTATTCTTTGCTTAAAATCATTCAGTCTAAAAGATTTGCTTTTACATAATCCAAAGTGTTTTCTCATGAAGTAGGACAAATACTGCTCTGCATTTATGGTGCAGTGCAGATTTTATGCATTTTTATCAGAATTTGCCACTATTAAACGAGGTCAAATAATTTATTTTAAAGCCGTGTTAAAGGAATCACAAGTGGGCTAAAAACTTTAGAGAACTGGGATCTGTGAGTTCCAAATGTTTCACAGAGAATCCAAAGTACTTTTTAAAAGCAGCTGATTTGTGAGTAAAAGAAAATTGCAATTCCTTTACTGCAGTAAGATAAATTCTATCTTTCTCCCCCCAAAAGACGGATTTTTCTGCAGTTATGACTGAAATAGTTCTCCCCATAAAAAGGGTCTTTGTTAAGATGGTGAGTTCTGCAGGGCACTGAAGATGCAGACTTAAATCCAAGCCCCCAGCAGTCTGTCTCATCCACACCCTTCATTAAATCCTGAATAATTTCTTTACAAATATTTAGGTAGCCAAGAAAAATGCCCAGAGCAAACAGTGCCTCCGTAAACAGCAAAACAGCTCCACAAACCTTTTTCCACAGAGGCTCCAGGGACTATAACAAATCACTTGTTGAGCTGCAAGAGGCTGCGCTGCAGCGCTTGCATTTTGAATAGAGGGAGGCTGAGAGAAAAATACCTGCACCCAAGAAATGGGTACAAACCCCCAAGGCTGGGAGGAGGGAGTCTCTCAGTTCTTATTCTAAAGCAAGAAATTATTTTCTTTCCATTTTTTCCCCTGGATCGTGTCCTGTATTGCTGTATTTCTTGGAGCTTTGCATCATGTGACAAGATGTAACCTAACATAACCCAGGGCTCTGTAACTCATGCAGAACTCTCCTGTGACTTCTAACAATACTTTTTAAATGATAAATGGAAGCCCAGTGGCCCAGGTAAATTAAATTATCAAAGGCTCTTGACAAATCCAGGTTTGTTCCCACCACTATTAAAAGACCTTTGACATATCAGTGCTTTGGAGGGCTGCACAAGTACTTGTTTTAATTAAAATCTCTTCTAATGCCTATTGCACTTATTTAGGCTCTCCATGGCTGCTCCATAACAATGCAAAAAGTGATCTGAAAGGGAACTTTTCAATAATTATTATTTAACAAGGATATCCTTCTCTGACAAGGCTTGTGCAGGAGAAAGAGTTTAAAAGGGAGGTCAGCCCTCCTTTTAGGGCAGCCCTCCTTCAGCACCTCCTTTGGAGGTGTGTTTATCAAATGTAGGTTAGTATCAAAATCAGAGAATCATAGAATTATAGAATGATTAAGGTTGGAAAAGACCTCCAAGGTCGTCAAGTCCAACCTCCATCTGAATCCCACCCTGCCCACTAAACCACGTTGTGAATCCTTCACACAGGAATGCTTTTCCATAAGGAATGCACTGTAACCAATCATCAGCTTAGAAATCTTATTTTGAGTGGAGAAATAATGCAGATAATTTTTAAAAAGAAGAAGAAAAGTGGATTTCTACATGCTAAAGGGATTTTTGTTGGAAATAAGGAGGAAATAGCATGGGTTAGCAGGATTTGACAGTGCAGGGGTCACTTTGGAAATGGAGAAGTGCCTCACCTGTACTCCTGGGAAGGGTGGTGGTTTTGCCCTGAGTTCCTAATGATTCCTGACATTATGGCCGGGATATCACTCTCTATCATCTCCTTGGGCAGCAGCAGGCAGGGTCAGCAGCAGTAGCTATCCAGCACTTCAGCAGCGGCGGGAGGCACCGGGACACGGCCCGGTCGGGGACCGGCACCGCCACGTGCACTGGTGGTACTGGGAAAGGCAGGAGAACATCTCACGGGGGATAATCCCGGCTCAGAGCGGGACCGCCAAGGGAGGGACAGCCACGGGCAGGGACTGTGGATCCCGGGAGCACCGGGAGCGCTCCCGCCTCGGGGCCGCCCTTATCCCCCAGGCAGCATCCGCCGCCGCGTTTTGGAAGCCCGAGCTGCGGGAGCTGCAGCGGTCCCGACTGGCCCCGGCGATGGGGTGAACCGGGGAACCCCGGCCCCACCGCCCCGGCGATGGAGCGATCCCGGGAGAATCCCATCCCCACTGCCCGGGGATGGAGACAGATCCCGGCAGAATCCCAGCCCCGCTGCCCCAGGGATGGGGTGAGCCGGGGGTTCCCAGCCCCTCTGCTCCGCGAATGGGGCGGGAGCCCGGGCGAACCCCAGTCCCGTTATCCCAGGAATGAGGGAAACAGCGGGACCCCAGCTCCGCTGCTCCAGAAATGGAGGGGGATCCTGGGGATCACCAACCCCGCTGTCCCAGGGATGGAGTGAGCCGGGGGTCCCCGCCACCACTGCCCCGGAGATGGAGGGGGAACCCGGGGGTTCCCAGCCTCACTGACCCGAGGGTAGAGCGATCCCCCGAGAACCCCATCCCGCTGCCGGGGGATGGAGAGAGCCCGGGTGATCCCAGCCCCGCTGCCCCAGGGGTGGAGGTGGAGCCCAGGGAACTCAACCCCGCTGCCCCAGGGACGGAGAAGGATCCCGGGACTCTTCAACCCCGCTGCCCGCGGGATGGAGCGATCCCGGGAGAAGCCCATCCCGCTGTCCGGGGACGGAGAGAGCCCGGGTGATCCCAGCCCCGCTGCCCGGAGATGGAGAGATCCCGAGGTTCCCCCTCCCCGCCGCGCCGCGCCGACCCCCCGCGCCCCGGGCCGGGCGCTGCCTCTGCCTCTGCACGAACCTGCGGGCGGGGGCCCGGCGGGGTCTGGTGTCGGGCCCGGCGGGGCCGCGCTCCGGCCCCGGTTTAAATTTCCCTCTCCGGAGCTGTCCAGCCCGAGCATGCGCGGCCCGGCCCGGGGTCAGCGCCGGGGCAGAGCGGGCAGGGCCGGCCCCGCGCCCGCCGCGGAGCCCGCACCGCCCCCGCACGGCCCGGGAGGGGCCGGCGCGGCACGGGATGGGGTGGGATGGGGTGGGATGGGATGGGCGGGCGTGTCCGCGGGGAGCAGGGCAAATAAACGGGAGAAACCCAACTAACCCAACTCCGGGCAACTCTGCGGAGGGACGAGGGGGAGGGATGCACCGGCTCGAACGGGCACTGGCGGGAGGGGAGCGAGGGCGGCTCGGGGGGGATCGCGGCGCTGTTATCGATGGCTGAGCTCGGTGCCCTTTTCGCGGTGCCCGGTGCTCTGTGCCCGGTGTGCGGAGCCCGGTGCCCGCCAGCCCTGTGCCCGGTTCCCGGAGGCCGGTGCTCGGTGCCCGGCGCCCCGTGCATCACGTCCCCGATTCCCGGTACCCTGTGCCCTTCTCCCCGTACCCGGTGGCCGCAGCCCCTCTCGGCGCCGCGGGGAGCGGAGCGGAGGCAGCGCCCGGACGCGCCTCTGCCCTCCTGCCGCCCGTCCCGCTCCGGGATGGCCACGGGGAGGACCCGGGAGCCGCCGCAGCGGGAAAGGAGCCGGGACAGCCCGGGAGGCTGCACCGCACGTTCTGCTGCCTTAGCGCTGACACTGAGCGGGGTGAGGCCCTGGCACAGGTTGCCCAGAGAAGCTGTGGCTGCCCCATCCCTGGAAGTGTTGGACGGGCTTGGAGCAGCCTGGTCTAGTGGAAAGGTGTCCCTGCCCATGGCAAAGGGGTGGAACTGGAGGTGCTTTAAGTCCCTTCCAACCCAAACCACTCTGGATCTGATCTCCATGGACCTGCAGCCGTGAGGCGAGGAGTGGTTGCCCCACCAAGGGTGGGCAGAGGTGGAGAGGACACGGTCCTGCCCCTGGAAGGCACCCACAGAGCCCAGCCAGCCCAGGGGATGCGAGTGGGAGGGAGGGACCCAGGGTGGAGACTGAGGGGTCTGGTAGATGTGAGCGCCTTTATTTAACTACATTTACACATAAAATAAACAAATAGTCCCCCTGTGTTCAGCGCTGGTGAAGCACCTCAAATCCTGGGGGCAGTTCTGGGCCCCTCAGCACAGGACAGACATTGGGGGTGTCTGTCAGTGTCTGTCAGAGTGCTCAGGGAAGCAAAGGGAGATGGGGAAGGGTTTGGAGCCCCAGGAGCATCTGAGGGAGCTGGGGGACTAAGCCTGAAGAAAAGGAGGGACAGGGGGGACCTTCTGCCTCTCTATAACTCCCTGGCCAGGAGAGTTTGGGTTGGATATCAGGAGGAATTTTTTCACAGAAAGGGTTCTCGGGCATCAAAACAGGGACCAGCCTCCCTTGTTAGGAAAATGGCTTTTATGTAGAAGCAGTTTGAGGTCAGTGATGATACCAGATCATTTGGGCTCTGCATAGCAAAGCTTAAATGTGGAAATACTTCCAATATCCTTGCATGATGAAACCCCAGAAGATTAATGATAAACATATTTCCTTGTGCTTCACACTTTACCAGAGTATGGAGAGGAGGAAACGTGGAGACAGAGATCTTACTTTTTCTGCTCTTAATGAGAATCTGTTCACTTCAATGCACATCAAATCTCCTTCTGTTAATTGCTGTTGATAGAAGTGCAGATTAATCAATATTTCTATACATCAAGGCCTATACCAGGCACATCTGGAGAACCAAAATAAGAGGAAAAGTCTCAGTACTGCCAGAGCCTAAGGCACAGAGTTTGCACAGTTTCAAGTGTTCCCTTAATTACAGAGTTATTAAAACGTCATCTTTTACTCATTATATCCTTACCTTATATCTTAAAAACCACTTTAAAAAATGCATTCCTGGAGCTGGATCTTTGCAGGAAGGGTGAGGATAAAACACACCACTTCTTTCAGCCTTCCTTGGAGCTGTTCAGCCCATTGTGTGGAGCTTTTCGCCTGACTGGTTCCCTGTAGCAGAACATTCCATGCAGGATTCATTTCTCCAGGTGATTTGCATACCTCCTGCTTGGAAGGGCCACATCAGACCAGGTGAGGAGAAAGGGTGGCTCCTGCCTCGTTTGCTCACTGGGGGAGCTTAAACTGGAACGGGGAGGGATAAACGGGCTTAGTTCTGCAAACACTTGGAAGAGCACGCGGCAAGTTGCAACAAGGAAAATTCCAGTTAATTGTTACAAAAACCTTTTCACAATGAGGTCCAACACTGCAACGGGGCACAGGGGGGTGGTTGAGTCCCTCCCTGCCCTTGGAGACACTCTCAGTGGGACAGGACAGAGCTCTGAGAAATCCATAGAATGGTTTGGGTGGGAAGGACCTTAAAGCTCCTTTCATCCCACCTGCCATGGGCAGGGACACCTTCCACCAGCCCAGGGTGCTCAGAGCCAACTGCTCTGTGTCACATCTGCTCAGAGTTTGAATTCAGGTGAACTGCAAACTGATGACTGGATTTCCAGAGATTGGCTGTAGCCGATTTTCCCTTGTTTTAGGTGTTTTCTCACCAGTTCTCTTACTCTGGAGACATTATGCTGTGCAGGAAAGGAATATCAATGTATTTTATCTTCTGATATACAGTAACTGGGTTCCTTTATGCGAATTTTAAAATGAGAGAATACAAGATGTGGAGAATTCTCTTTTTATTTATAGTCTTATTTAGGTTAAGGAATAGGGCACGTTCACCTGCCACAACTGAAGTAATTTTTACAGTGAATATTAGCAGAGAAATGTGTATTAGGTACTTTTATTCATCCAATTTCTGTTGGATTTATTTGGTGACATGTAAAATCACATGTAGCCTTTAAAATAACATAATGTTCAGCAATCAGTTTCTTCCTTTCCTTGGAAAAGTTTGTACTGGTTTCTAGCAAATAACACAATAAAACCACACAGGCAAAATAGGGATTTGCTTTGTAAAGACAATAATTTTCTTGTGTGTGAGTTTCTATAAAAACATTTTGAATTTCTATAGAATTTCATTTAAACTGTAGTAATTGAATTCATTTTGCTGCCAGCTGAGGTCATCATAAAACAAGTTTGGTTTATTTTCCAAGCTCTCCAGTTTGCTTTAGGAGACAAGTGACAAAAAAAACAAGCAAGGGAAAGTTGAGGAACCCTCAAAAGCAGAGGTTTATGAGAACTCTGTGAAGACCTTGACAACTTCTGTGTAGCCAGGCTGGAAAATCAAAATATTTCCCCCACCTCTTACCAGTCTGGACTGGGACTGGTGTCTGTGGTGAACCCAGGATGGCTGAACAGCAGATTCATGTTTACTGATCATCTTTTTCTGTGAAGGGACACTGGTGTGTCCTCACTTCAAGCTTCCTACTCCTCACTTGGCTTTTTTCCTGATTACACTTTTCATCCTTCTTCGCCTGAGGATCTAAAACATGTGGAGAAAATAATGATGTGAACTCAGATCAGTACCCTCTGTTTGGTGAAATGTGGTGATTTTAAAGCATTTAGTGCTCTGTAAAAAGGAAGAATTTCCTTGCACACTTCAAGCCAGCTTTGTTTGATGTGAAAGAGAGGATTCTTTAGCTCCTCCTTTATTTACCCAGTGCCTTTACAATTCAGCCCTTCAGTCCCCTCCTTACAAAATATTCTATTTCCACTTTAAACTGCAACTTCATCCTGCAGATTCTCAGTCCCTGATGATGATGGGAATCATGTTGTACTTCACCCCCCTGCTCCCAGTGCCCAGGTCTGGGGTTGTTTTCTCTCCCTCAGAAATAAAAAGCAGCTATTTCAGTTCCCCACGGGCTCTTTTCCCAGGGCATTCATATCGGAATGAAACCAATGCGCAAGTGGATTCTGGCCAAGCCATTTGAAACCCAGGAAACT